CGGCGGGAGGGCCGCGGCCCGGCAGCGCGGCCGTGTCCTCCCTTACCTCCGGGGGACACACGCCGGGGACCCGCTGTCCGCCCGGGGCGCTGGTTCGTGGGGGTGGCTGAGCGGTGACTGGGGGTGATTGCTGTGCCTGCCGCGGTGCCCGGTGCAGGCCGCGGGCGTAGCGGAGGTAACGCCCGGGCTCGGGCGCGCCCCGCGGGCAGCTCCTGCCCGGCGCTGCCGCACCGGGGCTCGGCGCTGTGTGTGACAGTGCCCAGGAGGGCCCCTGTGTGTGCGGGGGCACGGCAGGGACACCGGCGGCCTGGCTGAGCGGGGTGGCAAACAGGAAAATGCATCCTCTAACCTGCCCCTTGTATGGGTCCCCCTGCAACAACAGCTGGAAATTTTCAGGGAGATTACTGAGCTAAGGTTGCCCTGAAAGTGCCACGATTCGATATGTTCAGAGCATCTGGAAGCATTTTGCCATAATACACTGAGTTTTGAAGCTGTGTGGGGTATGCTCTTGTTGCTGAGCACAAGGATACTCACAGAAATAAGTGTCATTAGTGTGTTACTGGTTTCCAGAGCCCCTAGCAACAAATTGTCCATGCAGGTGGTTAGAAGTGATATTTTACTGGTAAGTGAATACCCTGACAGGTAAGCATGGGGTTAATGTTATAAAGCAAGAAGGTAAGAGTCACCTGTATCTTGCTACTTGGCTTTGGGAGTTTCAGAAGAGCTTGCAGGGACAAGCCCTCTGCATTAGATGTGCTTTTGTGAAAGTGATGTTTTAGACTGTGGATCATTTTAGCTGAAACCTGCATTCTCTCTTTATACAGAGGAAATATTGTGTTTTCAAAAAGCATCTGTATGAGACCGTTACTAATTGTACGTTAATTTTAAGGGAAATTGCATGGCAGAGTGAGAACTGGCTGTTCAGAAGAGGTTGTGGCTGAGGATTAACAACATGTCTAAAGAAATGCAGGAACTACAGAAGCAATGGCACTCCGTGGTGCAGACCATCCACAGCAACGCAAATGTGGGTCTGGATTGCAATTTTATATGTTTATAAAGCTATTCCTTTTGTCACCATCAGAATATCACACCCTGATTTATTTAAATGCACTCCCTATTTTTTAAGTGAACACTGTGAGGCCTGTGGGAAGGCCTGTCCTCCCACACCTTCAGTCAAGAAGGAAGGAAGCCTGTTCTGTATTTTTGTGTTTTACTGGCATAACCCTTTGAGATAGTAGTGGCATTTTAGTGAAATGGTTGCACTGCTATAAAGAGAACTAAAACTACAATATGTGTTTCCTCAAGGGAAGGGAAAGTTTACAGTAAAATTACTCCTTCTGTGAAAAGATTTTTTACCAGTAATATTGTTAAATACTTAACATTGCTAATACTTAGCTTTCTGATACAGATATGCCTGCACTGTATTTAGATTCAATAAGTGAGCAGGTTGCAGGTATTACTAAGCCATGGATAAAAGAAAAGTTGAGCATTTTTAAATATTGCAGGTTTTTAAAATTAACAAAGAGAGGTCTCTAGTTCAAAATAATGGTTGCCAAGACCTCAGTAAAAGCTACAGCTAGACTGATTTCTTTTTTACTTGTTTTCAGATTGGTTGCTTTTTTGTGGGTTTGTTGCTTTTTATAATTTGTGCAAGAATAGAACTGGGAAATCCAAGAAAAACTTGTCTGTTGTTGGTAGGATTATATTTGCCCTGAAGTTTTCTAAATTGGTGGCAAGAGCCCTTGCTTTTGAAACCGAAGCAAGAGGTGATCCCTGATCCAGCTGCAGACTGACAAAAGATCTGTCCTACCTGTGGTTCAGTACAGTAGGATTGAACTGTGAAAGATATCTGTGACAAGAGATTTAAAAAAAAACTAAACCTTTTTTCTTTCATCTGCAGGTTGTTGCCTTTATGAATTCTCGTGTTGGCCAATATTTAGATGACCATCCTTTTGTTGCCTTATCACTCCTGATGTTTATTGCAGTGTCAGCTATTCCTGTTGGATTTTTCCTGGTTTTTGTTGTTACAACAGCTGTAATGGCCTGTATTGGTGTGATAGTCATGGAAGGTACTGTCTGCATGCATGGATGTACTTACCTTTTAAAGCATGGTATCTTTTTCCTGTTTAATTTTTCCTTCTGGAGGCCTGAGTCCTAGCAATTGAGGATTTCTGTGGGTAGTCCTCAGGTCTCAATACATGCATGGATGTACTTACCTATTCCCTTTTAAGGCATGGTATCTTTTTCCTTTTTAATTTTTCCTTCTGGAGGCCTGAGTCCTAGCAATTGAGGATTTCTGTGGGTAGTCCTCAGGTCTCAGCAGCAGTAAAACTCTTAATACAAGAATAGTAATCTAATTAAGTGTAGTGTATACAGGGGAAATCCTATTTTCCTTTCTAATCTCAGCCAGCAGGATATGCCTAAACCAGTTATCTTGAGCATGCATATCTTTTATGGAGGCTAGCCAGATGAGTGAGGAAGATGGTTTTCCCAAATTGTTTGAAATTCAGGTTATAGCAGAAAGTCAGCTCTTCTATTTGTACATGGACTTGTTTAAGTAACAGAGTGGTGTTTTTTTAGGTGTTGTCATAGCCATAGGGGGCATAGCCCTCCTGTGTGTGCTCTGTGGCCTGGGAGCCCTGTCCCTGGGAGTTTCTGGAGTGCTGAGTGTTTCCTACATTGCACTTTCAACTCTGGTCAACTACTGGTGTGCATCAAGGTGAGTAGGGATGTCTTGATCCATGGATTTTAAACTCTGCAACTGTGCTATTGCTTTTATTGGCCCATGTTTTTCCTAAATGAGCCACTGTTGCTTAGTTTACCAATGTTTCTTGAATGCTTTGAATCTTGGGCTACCCTCATGGCTTAAAATGCAGCATACAGCTGTCTGGTCATTGATAGGTATTCTAATGAGCATTAATTCATGCTTTTTCCTTTTTGGGACAGAGGAAACACAAATGGTCTTTAAGTGTGCTAACACAACATGACACCAGGCAGTAAAATACATCTTTATCTCTCTCTAGTATGTGGCTTTAAACATCATTAAAACCTACTGCCAAGTAGAATTTTGTGTAAGAGTGGAGCCTTTTGCAGTTTTTCCTTCATGATGACCCAGCTATCTCTCTTTACCTGCATTTGTAGAGTAAGGGAACAAAATTCATTGTAGATTTGGGACAGGCAGAGGAGTACTTAAAAAGGACAGTATGGTCAAAATAATAGGCAGAGGAGCATACCTTAAGCATACTTAAAAAGGACAGTATGGTCAAAATAAAAATAACAGGTTGTGTAGGATACTGCACTGTGTAAGTTTCCAGTTGTGCCTGTCAGGATTTGGGCTTGGTTGCCTCAGCCAGGCAGCTGAGAGCAGGAGGCAGCAGCAGGCTGTGCTGGAGTGCCACCTGTGGCCCCTCAAATACCTGCCAGGGAAAGAACCTCAGTAATCACTCTGCCCTAGGGAATTGCCTGTCAGGATTTGGGCTTGGTTGCCTGTTTCAGTCAGCATTGCCTCAGCCAGGCAGCTGAGAGCAGGAGGCAGCAGCAGGCTGTGCTGGAGTGCCACCTGTGGCCCCTCAAATACCTGCCAGGGAAAGAACCTCAGTAATCACTCTGCCCTAGGGAAGAGCAAGAAGAGTAATCACAGCTGCTCTCTTCTAGGCTTCCTCAGTTTGCTCCTTCAGCACAGCTGTGTTTGCAGAGCTCTTGAGGACAGAAAGCTGCCTGAGATGGCAGCAGAGTGACAAAACCATGGTGCAAAGCCCAATTTCAGGGCATGCTGTCACAGCCACAGCACTGCCCACCAGTTCCAGAAGACTTCTATTTTCCATAGCATATGCAAATGCTCAATCCTACACACCAGCCCTGTTGAGCTACAGCTTTGATGATAAAACAGATATTATCATTTTTGCATTCCTCTGTCATTTGAGAGAAGCTTAGCCCAGCAGCAGATATAAACCTGTCTGGGACAGCTCACATTGCTCAGCTTTTCTGAGCAAAAGGTTAAAAGATAATCTTAAGAACAGACACTAAAACCATTCTTTTCTCATGTACACAGAGGTCAGATAAGGAAGCAAGATGTTAATGGAAGTTTACCACAGAAGCAGCCTGGCTTGGACCTTTCTGCCAATACTGGAAAGAGTGAATAAGAAGGTTTCTCCCCATTTCATAGGCACTTAGCTGTACAAGCCCAGCCTTTGCTATGTAATTGTTTACTCATTAAGCATTCAATCATTGTGTACTTCTGGAAACTGAGAAAAATGAATACACATCTTACACTGGCACTGTAAACGGGATCTTAATAACCAAGAAGTAGCAGTGCAGTGGTAAGAGTATGTGCATGATGGAATGTTCCACAGTTTGGTAAAGGGATGCAGTAATGGTACTGTTAAGTCAATGGCAAGTAGGTGGATAGAAAGGGGAGGGAGATATTTGATTTCTCAGATACTGAAGTTCTGAATGTACTCTTTAGTACATAGCAGTGGTCATTCTGATACATACAGAAGTATCACAGTTCAGAACAGTAGAAACACATTTTGAATGTGGAAAAGTGTTTGTAAGCCTTAACAACCTTAGTTAAAATACTATCAGTACACCAGGCCAATGCTTTATGTTCATTATAAAGAGAAAACTGGGTTTGTCTTATGTCATGGTCTAAGCTTTTTTCCTCCCTTTAGATGTTGTGTTATTCCAAAGGGATGTTTTACTTATTCTCATTGCCTCATCATATCAGGGGTATGCTTAAGTCTTGTTTAGGTATTTAAATTGCCTGGTTTGCTTCTCAGTTGTAGCTTTGTGTATGTTATTTAAACTTTTTTCATTTTTGCAAATGTTATTATATTTTTAAGCATAAAGTAACTATTTTAGTTTAATAAAGTGCTGTTTGTTTAACCAGATTGTCTTATTAGTCTATTTTATGCTACACTACAAACAAATTTTTCACATCTTGTTTTAGGAAGGCTACATTTGGAGCTGAGATTTTCTCCTCGAATAAAGTATTTTATATGGCCAACATTGCTGAGCCACAAACTGCAGATTACTCCCCTTCTCGTGTCTGTAAAGGAAATGCAGATGTCTAAGGTCTAATTTAGTTCCATTTAGTTTTGCATGAACAAACCTGCTGCTTGACTAAAACATGGGCACAGAGCCTACCTGAGGTGTAATGTGCTTCACACAGTAGTGGTGGTAATAGTTTCAGCTCTTAGGCTAAGCTGGCCCCACACTTCAGCTGTAGAGTGAAATAATCCCCAGAAGATTTCCAGAAGCCCTTTCTTTTAATGGCACATTAATTCAGCAAACAGTACAAAGCCACAGAACCAGCCTGCCCTCAGGCAAGGCTGCCTGCAAGAGCTTTCCAGGAGGCACCTCCAAAGACAGAGCAATAAAGCCCTTACACCTGGCCTGAAGTTACAACACCCAAAATGTTTACAGCGCAGCTCATACATGAATGCACAGCTGAATACTTTCCCCTCCTTTTCCTTTATGCCCTCATCTTCTGAAGGGAAGAGGTATTACTTAATAAAATCAGCAGACACTAAAATAAGTTAATCCAGTCCCACTCAGAGTCTGACCCAACATGAACCATTTTCCTCTGCATTTTAAATGCATTTTTCATTATATAATTCATTCTGTCATCAGCACTTAGCAGTAACTAAAACTGTGAATGCTCAGTTACCTGCAGCTAAACTTGGAACAGTTCTGCTCCTGCTGCCCTGACCTCTGCATGCTTCTCAGCCTGTTATTTCAAGGCTTCTCACTCTGTCCTTGCACCAAGAGCTGCTTTTTCTGCAGTGCCATCACCACAGTAAGGCTTTCAAATGAGAGATGCTGAATAAAAAACTAGGTCAGCATAGAGTAGGTGTTTTACTGGAGACAGTAAGGCATCCCTTAAAAGAAGGGCAGAGGTTGTTTTCTTCTTTGAATTATTAAAGACTGCAGTAGAGATAAGAAGGCCTCAGCAAGACAGGCTGGGGAGATCATGCCAAGTCGCTTTTTTCTCAGTTGCTCTCAGCTTTCTACAGAACACCACCAACCCCACAAGAATCTGGCAGGAGACTCCCACCTAGCAAGACAGGCTAGGGAGATCATGCCAAGTCCCCTTTTACCAGTTGCTCTCAGCTTTCTGCAGAACACCACCAACCCCACAAGAATCTGGCAGGAGACTCCCACCCCATGGCCCCATTCCCAACCAGCTCCTCAGCCTACTCAGCTCTCCAATCTGGCTCATTGCCCCTTACTTTGGGCATACACATGCCTTAAGAGGCACCCACTCTGGTGGCCTTACAGCCTGGGGGACCCCAAATATCCCACAGCTAAGGAGATTTGGAGCAGCCAGCTGTGGTATGGCTCCTAAAGCAGCTGCTTGAGCTCAGGCTGCATGGTCAATGCTGGCTCCACCTGCAGCAGGTTCCCCGAGTCATTTTTCTGCCTTCTGCTGCAGCACCATCATCCCCACTTCACCCTGTGTCAGAAGAGAGGGACCTCTGCCTGAATGCAGGAAAGGAATCTTCTTTGCTTGTAAGATGAGCTTAGACTTTCCAGATAACACACTTGAACAGGGAGCAGAGGGGCAACAGCACACAGAGAAAGAGGGAAAGAATGCATGTAGCTGAGCTCTAGGGTAAATCATGTACAAAATAAAGAACACAATCCTGTGTTTTCCTTGATTCAAATACCCTGAGAGAAGTATAGTTAACCCTCCCAGAAACCAGGGACAGATCTCTTCTCACATAGGGGCAGAAACCAGGCAAAACCAGGCAAGAACTACCTTCTCTTTGACCTAGATGGCTGTCATAATGTGCAAGCTTGTTGTCTCACCTCCTCAGACAGTAAAGAGTACAAAACACAGAAATTAAAGAGCAAAAGTAAAGCTTTCACTGCTTCTCATACTGAAAGTACCCAAGTTATTTAAAACACCTTCATTAGTGCAAGTCTGCAGATTCATATATGTAAGATATGCAAGAAATATTTTAGCTTATTGGGATTTTAACTAGCATGTTTACATGTCACCGTAACATTATTTAGTAAACTCTAACCATCCATCTTATAGCAAAGGTTCAAACTCCAATAACAAACAAGGAAACTTCTCTACCTGTGCACACAAAGATCTTTTCCCCACAGTTCAGAACAAGAATGGAGAGAAGGAGTATTAAGATCTGCTCTATTTGGGTCAGAAGAGCCAAACAGCCCATACAGTTAAATACAACATACAGTTAAGTACATAAACCCTCTTCATCAAGGACCACTCATCTGGCTTTTGCAGAAATACTTCATATTCCAGCCAAGTACTAAGTCAACAAGACTTTAGTATAGCAGGTTTTTTGCTGGACAGTAGCTTAAGTAATCCTTTCAACCCTAGCTTCTATCAGTCCAATGACAGTAACTGACTTGTAATTAAGTGGCTCCAATGTGAGATTCATAGACTCATTATGTTTATATTATAATTTTTATTAAATACTAGCATATACGAACCATGGTCTCTGCTCCATACTCTTTGCATGCAATACTGATTAATATTTAGAAAATGCAGCCTGAAGTCTATTGCATTAATAACAGCTCACTAAAAATGCCTGAGTGAAGGAGGGGCTGTGGCAGACAAGACCACAGCCTGTGTTGTTTATGCAAAGTGTCCGGGTCTGGCCACTGACTTAATCTGAAACCCTGCACACTCAGAGCTGGACTCATGATGATCACTCTCCCTGCTCACACAAAGTTGCCACACAATGTTTAACCTAAGGCTGTTACACTCCTACTACAGCAAAGCACTCTCACTCTGTCACATGCAATTATATTTCATGCCTCATTTCCTTGACTATGCAAGGCAACATGTACAAAATAAGAACTGCATGAAAAACTGCCTCACCTCAGGTGGGCAGCATTACAGCTACAGACAGTGCTGGCAGTATTGCAGACAAGACAGCTTTAGCTGTACTCACATTTTTCCTCCCCCAGTTTGAGACCCCAAATTACACACCCCTGCTGCCCTTATTAAGTAGCCAATGGAACTTCCAGCCATCAGAAGACCAGCTCTGGCAGATGGAAGTCTGCTCCACTTCAGTTCTTCTGGTGTCCTTCTAGGCTGCTGTATGCAGAAAATGGGGCTTGACCATATATCTCCTTCAAAGGCCTTTTGTAATGGTCTGATTCCCATAAGGACAAAGGAGGTTTTTTTTAAATAGTAAAATCTTAAAAATTCTGTGTGTTGCTAAATAATTTCAATAAAGCCAGGTTTTAGTTTCCAGATACAATATGATCTGATTCCCATAAGGACAAAGGAGTTTTTTTTTAAAATAGTAAAATCTTAACAAAAATTCTGTGTGTTGCTAAATAATTTCAATAAAGCCAGGTTTTAGTTTCCAGATACAGTGCAGGGCTTGTGTTTACAAGAGCAGCTAGAGGAGCTACTCATCCTGAAGACACTGGCACAACACAAAATTTTAAAAACCCAATTAAATGGAATCACAATTGTGAACAATGATAAGCAATTCAAGAAAGGAAATTGGCTGCAAAGTCCAACAGGAATTTAACATAGCAGTAGTCTGTTTCAGAACAAAGATGCTCAGGAAATTAAGTATTATCGTCATTGTTGAGGACAAATCTACAAAAAGGAGGCATTCAGAGGATGAGCAGTATTGATTTGCATATCTAGATGCAGGAGAGGGAATACATGAGGCATAATTCACCAAGTGACTACTCCAAGTTTATTTGGAAATGCACACTAATGTACCACATTTACCATGTATGCTCTTCTCTTTAGGCATTTAAGAAAAGCCAAAAATAGCATTGTGGCCAGAGAGAGAACACCAACAGCAGTCATTGCAATGCCAGCCCATGCCTCCTTGCTCAGGAGAGTGCTCCCTGTAAAGCAAGGGGAAAGGCAGTTTGTTTGTGGAGACAGATCCTCACTAAGCCCAAGCAACAGCCCCAGCACCACCCTGGCTCAGTACCTCGGGCTGCAGACCACTCTTCTGGCATGAGGAGGACAGGGCCCCCCAGGCTCACCACAGCAGAGTTCACAGCTGCTATCCCACTTTCTACAAGAGAAGCACAGCACAGTTGAACCCTGCAGTGCAGTGGGTTATCTTGGCTCAGTACAACCTAAAATCCACTCAGACATTACCTCGCTTGCTTCTCAATGGCCTTGGGCACCTTGGGATGCACAATGGGGAGTCCGGGTGAAAACGGTGGCAGATCAGAACACTGCAGTGGAAGTACACCTGGGAAAGAATGAGAGGAATGAGACATGTTCATTTTGAAACAGCAACTGCTCCTACTACTGCTCCAAGTCCAATATCACCTACCAGGCCAGGAAGGGCTTTGCCACCAGAAACAAAAGCAAAAGTCTTCACTTCCAGCCTTTGGCGATAGTTAGCATAGCTGACACCACGTCCCACAGGGTGGAACACAGTCCTGTAGCTGTCCAGCTCATACTCACAGCTGCCAATAAATGAAAACCAAGTCAGAACATCAGGGTAGAGAAGATTTAGCTTGTTGGTGTTGACTCCTTTAAGCAGCAGACTAAAGTTCAAGGTTGAGGTGCTACCTTCTTCCTACAAATTCCAGCATTCTAGGGCAGCAGTTAGAAGGCCCTCACACTTAAGGCTCTCTTACTAAAGAGGGAACAGGGGAGAATTAGGCACTCCTCACACCCACTGCAAAAGGTGTTTTCATTTGTGTGGTGGGGCACTCACCCATCCACAACAATATTCCACTGGGGCAATGATCTTGGCTCTTGGGAGGCCGTTGCCCAGCAGTCATCCAGCACCAGGTGGAGGTTGGGGTCATTGCGGTTCAGGACCTGAACTTCCAGGAAGATGGGCTGGCGCAGGTACCTCACTATGGGATACTGGTCCTCACGGTAGGGCTGCCTGTACGAGTCCTCTGCAAGAGACAAAGG